ACATACCTGGCAAATACAAACAGAGACTGTTGATTTATACTCCAAAGGAAGTTTTGTAAATGTTAGCAAAGAAGCCAGAATGCACAAACTGTGTTTGATATGTATTCTTTGTTCCTTCTCTTGGTATTTATGAGATTGAGCTCTCTTTAAAATAAAGCCAATAATTTTAATGCAGAAAACATAGAGTTTCTTTGGAGAAGAGGAAACCTTTTGAGAGATGCGGACCTCATAAAAGATGTGAATTGTACCGTCTTGAAGAAGCTGTGTTAAAATATCCTGCAAAAGTGCTATAATTTAGCTGAGTTCAACGTATGGGAAGATGGGTGTTTTAGGTGGAGAGCCACATTGTCTTGGGAGATCATGGCCTCTTGAATACTCAATTGCCTTAATTTGCATATCTAACATGCCATTTTCATGATCAATAGAGTATCTCTATCACTAAGCTTAACCGGTCTTTCCATTCCTCCAACCCAAAAGTTAAGAATGGAAACCTTATAATTTTACTACTTAGCTTTACATTCTTTCTAACAGGTAACAACTGGTAAATGCATTGATTTATTACTTTCTTTATTCTGTAACTATAAGTTTCTACAAACTATTCCATGCTGAAACAATCATTTAAGAAGCCAGAATCTGTGTTTTTAGCCTAGGAGCACACATATTTGGTTTAGGATATGTTATTTTTGTATTTACTTCAGGTAATTTTACCACTGTGCTTTACAAATAAATTTATTTTCCATCAGAGGGAAAAAATCTTATTTTATATCTGCATAATTTAATGATTATATCATATGAAAAGGTTTTTTTTCTTTTAATGGACACTAAGCTTCCTTTCAGATCCTGGAAGACTCCTCCAAGGTTTGCTACATCATTGGGGTGATTGAAAGCAGTTCAAGAACCACCCGCTTCCCGGCAACAGACATGGTCACTTCTGCAATTTCTCAGTCTATGATCTAAAGAGTACAGGACAATCTAAAGTGAAGCTGGAAAATGGTGGTGAGCTTGAAGCAGAGAACAACGTATCAGTAAGATGGCATGAGTTTGAACATTTTTTTTCAACAAGGAAACTAATGATCAGAATACCGATTTTGCTCATTATTATGTTGAACCAATCAGTGATGATCACTCAGACATAGTGGAGAGCCGATTGAAAGCCTTTATTCCAGCTGGCTTGAACTATATTCAAGTGTTCTGGATTTAAGCTTATTTAGAGCAAGTCTTTTAAAGAGAAAAACCATATCCTGGTATCTCACTTTGCGTTGGCAGAGGTAGGTTTGCACAAGCAAACAGTTTAACAGAAGCCATAATAAGTTAGCTGGGGCATCTTGGCTTTGGGTCTTACAATAGAGTTGGGTAAATTCCCACTGAATTCTCCCTGAAACGGCTTCAGCAAGAATACAAGATGGAGGAACCACTGCAGTGTCAGGCCGTGTCAAACATTATTTTTCAACTTCTAAGACATCATATGATAGGAAGTATATTGGTTGTGCAATAACTTCGGTTAAGACAAAATATTCAGCATACACATTGTGAAACCTTTAAAATACTTGAGAACCAAAACTGACAGTGGTTTAAGCGAGTGATGGAAGCTACAGCCTCCCTTCTACTCACTAAGAAGCTCACGGAAGGCTTGAGTGATATACCTGTAGTGTAAGGCTAGGGCCCAAGCCTAAGCCTAAGGCCCCATGCATTTGTGTTTATCTGCACCAGGGAAAACGTGAGATAAAAGCCAATGAATAAATAAATAAATAAATAAATAAATAAATAAATAAATAAATAAATTCTGATGACTGTCAGTGGTTATTGTAGTTTCATCTCTGTTGTAATGAAGCACGAAACCGAAAGTGTTCAGGAAAGGTGTCTTAGTCTGTGTTTTATTGTTGTGACTAGACATCGAGGCCACAGCAACACTTATAAAAGAAAACATTTTATCGGGACTTTCTTATAGTTTCAGAAATTTAGTCCATTCGCATCAAGCATGTATGCAGACATGCTGCCAAAGAAGTAGCAGAGAATTCTACATCTGGATCTGCAGGCAACATGAACGGAGAGAGAGCTGGGCCTGGCTTGGGCTACTGAAACCTCAAAGCCCAACCTGAATGACACACTTCACCCAACACAACCACACCTCCTAATTCTTTCAGATAGTGCTACTCCATAAGCATCATGAACTTATGAAGGCTATTGTTAGTAAAACTACTACAGAAGGTAAAGGTTTTTCTTCTGGATTACTGTCCATCATTAAGAGAAGTCATGTCAGGAACTCAAGATGGAGCTTCAAGCAGAAACAGAGTGAGACTGGCTTCAGCACACACTCATGCTTAGCTAGCTTTCTTATAGAGCTCAGGTCCACAGGCCCAGGGAAAGAGGGCACCCACAGTGGGCTGCACCTTCCTCTATCAATTATCAACCAAGACCCCTCACACATGTCCATTGGCTAATCTGATTTGGGCAATCTCTCAACTAGAATCCTCTTCTCAGGTAAACCTAAGCTATGCCTAGTTGACAGTTAAGGCTAAGCAATACAGTGATGTATGAGTGGACTTTATAAAACAATGTTTTGCTTAGCTTATAAATTTGCGAACTTTGAATGTCAAAAGTGTTGTTTCCTCAATCTCTTGGTCAATTTACCCTTGGTCTTGGGAAATATCCCCGTTTCTTTAACAATGTGACAGGGGAGTGAGCTGAAAGTTATTAGATCTACCGACTATTAAGTGAAACAGAATTTGGTTTTGTGATGGTTTGCATATGCTTGGTCCAGGGAGTGGCACTATTAGGAGGTATGGCCTTGTTGGAGTAGGTGTGTCACTGTGGGCATGGGCTTTAAAACCCTCATCCTAGCCACCTGGGTCAGTATTCTGCTAGCAGCCTTCAGATGAAGATGTAGAACTTTCAGCTCCTCCTGCACCATGCCTACATGGATGCTGCCATGTTCCCACCTTGATAATGGACTGAACCTCTGAATCTGTATGCCAGCCCCAATTAAATGTTGTCCTTACAAGAGTTTCCTCTGTCATTGTATCTGTTCACAGCCATAAAACCCTAACTAAGACAGGTTCTAAGAAAAATGAGATCTCACTACTTTTAAAATTTTAAGAAGTAGAAATATCTACAAAGGTTTCTATAAATACACGTGAGACCTGCCAGTGCAGCCCTTAATCTCTTATACCACTGTGATGCTATTTTCTACTCTCATCTATACCCCTTTCCATTCTTTAATGTTTTGGAAATTAATACCAACAGGTTGTATTTTCACCTACTCACAATGCCCCCTTAATGCAGCAGGCCAGAGTCAATGCTTTCAAAGCAAGAGTCAGGAATTATTGCCACCAAGGGAGACGGTGACTATTAGAGACATGGAATGAGCACATTATCAAAGTCCTGCTTTGTATTTGTTAAAGAGAGTAGGCCCACTAGGCCCAGAAACCTTAGCTAGATAATCTTACTTTGACACTAATAATTGTACATCCAAATGCCTAATTTTGTATCTCTTTGTTATATATTGAAGTGCATGCTGAGTGGCTAGAGAGATAGCTCAATGCTGAAAAGCACTTATTCTCCTCCAGAGGACCAGAGTTTGGTTCCCCACACAACCAAGTCTGGTTCCTCATAGCCACCTATAACTCCAGCTGCAGATAATCTGACACCTTCTTCTGACCTCTGCAGACATTCACAGGCAACCACATGAATGCATGCACACACACCACTATAAAACATTTTAAATTGTACATTGAGTATCTCTCTAGTATAGAAATCAGAAATTTAAAACGTTCCAAAGTCCTAAACTGTCATGACACCACCAAGGGGGAAATTCCATCCCTGACCTTAACACAGCAGATTCTAGTGCAAGTGCATTGAATTATTTTACAAAATTACTTTCAAGTATGTGAGAAAGGTACTTGTAAGACATAAATCAATGTTGACTTTAGATCATATTTCTAAGATATCTTGTTATGCACATGTATATTCTAAAGTCCAATGCACGTTTTGTTTAGAGTATTTTGGGTAAGGAATATTTAACCTGTCCTATAGCAAGCAGGTAATGGTATGGTTGTAGTGAACTATATAAATTAAAGGACACTTCCTCATATTTTATATCTTGACCTTGAATTCACTTATAAAAACTTAATGAAATCACAAGATTGCAGTTTTCTTTTAGAAGAGAACTGAGCTGAAATGCTGATTTTCAAGAGAGCATTAAGAGAAGTTTGCCATTCTCGATATTATTTCCTCGTCACAAGAACTTAGCCATACAGCTTTGATCCTTGGCTTACTCCATCAGCCGATAAATAATAGCTTGCCCTGTTCCCTGCCTCGCTTTAGATCATAGGCTGAGAAAATGACTCAAGAGCATTTTACAAGTAATAAATTTGAGTCACGTTTGTGTGTGTGTGTGTGTGTGTGTGTGTGTACATAGCAAATGCAAACTACCTATAAAAAGGTATTTGTTTTGGTTTTGTCAGCTCTGTTCTAATTACCTGTTCTACCCACCCCCAAAAAAAAAAAAAAAAGGGGGAATTGGAACACTGACTTAGTTAAGTTCAGTGTAGTGAGGAGTTTGGAGATTCGTGCTAAGAGTAGAGGATAAAATCAACTTCTTTTTTTTAAAAATTGTCTTGGCTATAAAACTTTGATAAATGCCACTGTGAATTCGTGGCACTGAATTATATTTGCCTTTTGTCACAGGTTGAAGCCTTTTTTTTTTCCTTTATAATGTTTTTAATAGCAAAAGATCATTTTTGTAGTTTTGCTCACTATAACCAACTTCCTTAGGTCCTGATCAGATGAACTTATTAATTCCAGGTTCTTCATTATAGACTTAAAAATGTGGCATCTCCATACTTTTCTGAGTCACCCAGTTATCTTATGAATGAGTATTTTATACAAGACACAAGACTTTTTTCCAGCCTTATTTTATGGTATAAGAAAAGCTACTGTATGGAAAACTCTCAAATTGACAGTTTCAAGATAGATTGATGGCATTAAAAATGACAACCAGCTTTTATAAGTGTGTGTATTTTTTTATTCCAATTTAGTTTGCATTCCAAAGGAAATCATAAGGTATATTCCCATCTCTATAAAAAGTATTGTAAAATTATTTTTAAAAAATGGAAAAAAGGAAATTTGCATATCAAAATTCCAAGAGTTGCTTGGAGTAACACATCTTAAATTATAATTTTCTGCCTCTGCACCAAAAACAAACTTATAATTAGTGACCAGTGCTTCAGTAGCTGATTAACTCTGGGACTCCAGGAAACCAAGTTGACGAAAGATCCATCACCTCTTCTATGCCTTTTCATAACAGCGAACAGCAACGATATCCCCGAAGGTAAGAGTCTGAAATAGTCCAAAGATAATTGAATCTTTTTACCCAGGAACATTCACAACTCAAGTTTTAAACATTGTCACGTACATGACTTAAATATTAAGCCAAAGGATGAGACATTTACAAGCATTAAAGTTGCTTGTATTCTTTGTTTCCTAACCAAGCAAAAGGATATTTGTGTTTAATGAGTGAAAAGCAAGCTCATGTTATTAAAATTTATGAAAAGGAAAAGGAAATAGAAACTGAGTTGGAAACTTAAAGCTTTAAAAATTCCTTTCCTGTGAAATTATTAAAGGAACTGGGACAAATTGGATCCAAGGAAGGGACGCGATGTCACTATGGCCTCAACTGTCTGCTTTGAAAGGAAATTAGATTTTACATACGTTTTCATAGCAGTTTTCAATCCATAATATTGATGGACTTCTTTAGAAAATTCAAACCTTTGAACTCATGGTATCATGAATGACCTATTCTAAAAGCAAGGACAAGCCAGTACAGTGTTCTCTCTACTTTGTCATGTTTAGCCCATGTGAACATAACCTAGGTGATTAGGTGGCAGTGGCATTGGATTTGGACTTTCTTACTCTGAAGGTGAAGAATTACTACAAAATCACCTTAAAGTATTAAGGTGTGTACTCAAGACATTCAAGCATTGGTATGCTCCTCAGAATTCAGTACGCCTTTGCTGTAATCTTCAATTCAGAACTCAGTCTTGCCTGATCACAGTCAGGATGTCTAAAGATGAGCTTGCTCTAGGTTATGTAGACAAGAAAGGAATCAAGGATACATCATAAGAAAATAACTTCAGGATAACTGTTAGAAAGGAACTATTTTCTTTGTTGATAATTCAAGAAAAATCTCTGCTCTCTGCTCTCCAACATTCTACATGTAAAAAGTATATTTTAGTTCAGAATAGCTCTGACTGTAATATAAAGAAGTGGGCAATTGATTCTTTTCTAGCAGCAAGAAAGCCACCTTCTAATCTTAGCAAGAGTTTGTAAAGGAACCCCAGACATTCCCAAGAGCAATACGCAAATTTTCCCATATCACTATCATTTAAATAATATTTCTGTTTTTCAAGTGGTCTCTACAGGTCTAGGTCAAGGCCTAACTCCTTCTATCACAAGGAAAATTATTTATAAAATTATTTTTCTATTTTATGGTATTTACACACCTAGCTGTCACTGGGCATATGTTGAAAACTCAGTTGATTCATTAAAAATAAAAACAACTGTAAGGGAATGACATCAAACAGTTCTAGTAAAAATTAAAGTTTCACCTTTTATTAAAATTATTTGCACTGAGCTCTTACAAGTAAATATAAAATGTTTAAAATGCCCTAATTACAGTCTCTAATAAGTAACTTCCCTGATATTCAGTTACTTTATGTTTTCCTATCAGTTATCTTCATGTATTTTCCTAAACAATAGCTTATGTTTAAGTCCAGTTGAAGGCTGGAGATTCACAGCAATCCCATGACTACAGTTCTTGGCACACACTTTTGGGGTAAATTGAGGTATAATTTTGAAACTCTACAGGTGCCAACCTGAGACAACAACTAGTTTTGAGGTTTTTATTCCTCCTGCTTCACATATTGTTAGAGTGTTGAAAGGCACATGTAGCTAAGACAAAAATAAAGGGGTGAGGAGAGGAAAAATGAGGAGGTAAGGAGTCGAGAGAGCAGTGAGAAGGAAAGGCGGCTATCAGGGAAATAGGGACAGAAAACGCAGACTCCTTAGGACTTACCACGACCATCTTGCCATCCTTAATTTCTCTGACAAAATTGGTTTCTTTGCCATCCCACTTCTGCACATGAATGAGCTTGTCTCCATCCAACCGAACCACAGACTGAGAGCAACAACAAAGTAAAGGGGGTTAACAGGCAAAAGTCCACGTCCCACAGAAGTCAAATGACAGCACTATCAGAGAGGGCCATAACTGAGTACATCACCCACTGAGTAGATCACCCGTAATTATCCCAGGAACACCTCATCCTCTGCTACTTTCAAGAGTCTATGCTTTCCAAAACGTATCCATTTATAATTCAGCACAAAAACACAAATCCATCAACTAGCTTATCTAAGATATACAAATAATGGCTATAGCACAGCAGAAAGGGCAAAACTGGCATAGATCAGAAATAAAAACACAGAACTAGTCACTCTTCTTGTTGAAACAAAGCTTTGTTGTGAGATGGACTAGTTGGTCAAGCTGAGATGATCAGAGAGAAGGAAAAAGCTGTGGTCTTTCTTTCAAATAAACACTGTTCAATACTCTCTGGGTAAAAGTTACTATAAAATGTGAAAAATGTCTGACAAAAGAAGACTAGCCTGCAAGTTTGGCTATGGAAATTACTCAGTGTCTAGGATACAACTAATTAACCCTAAAGTGTTAACTCTAGCTCTTTTTCTCTGAAGGGGAATTCTGAAAACTTCTTTCCCATCTCCATGTCTTCAGAGAGATGGAGAATCTTCATTCCTCTGCCCCATCTCTTACCTTACAGTTCCTGTCATCTATGCTGGTTTCCTCAAATTCTTCTCCCAGCTGGAAACTGATCTCTGTGTTCTTGAATGTGCATTGTGTCCGGATCACCACTTTGCCACCTTCCTGACTGATAATCACTGTTGGTTTGGTTACATTTCCCACTTGCCTAGTGGCAAAGCCCACTCCTGAAACAGCAAAAGGAGCTGGTACAGTTAACAGCAACTTCCAAAATAGTTCATAAAGCAGAAATCTGCTTGCCAGTCTGAGAATCCAGAATTGGATACTAAAGTGTAGATTCCATTCAAACCTAATTAATGGTTAATCCATTAGCCAGGACGAGCTGAGCACAAATAGGGAAATGTTCACTCCCCTCCCCAAAGTTACAGAAGTTTCACATTTTCCATAGACTATCAAATGGTCCCATTATTTGGTCCTGGGCAAGAAGGGAGGAAAATGCCATAGTAAGAATTTATTTAAGTGGGATGTGCATAATCTAGTATAATTAAAGCAATGTGTTCGTCCTGTCTCTCAGAAACTGGTAAGTAGGGTTTTTTTAAGAATCAAAATACAGAGTTAAAAAAAAGAACAGTATGTCTTATTTTTACCTACCCAGAGCCTTCATGTACTCATCAAAATTCTTACTGTCTGTCAGCTTCCAGGTTGCACAGAAAGCATCTACCATCCTTGCCCTCCTAGTCAGCTGAAAATAGGTAGAAGCTGGAAGAACTCTGGTCTACCGACCACCGTAATTCACAAAAATTCTTTGCACCTCAGCAGCAGCCCCTGCCTTCTTATTTGGAAAAGAAGTGGGCAAAAAGCCAATCATTTGAATGGCTAACTTGTCTCTTTCCAGTAGGCTGCCGCGGGGGGAGGGGCTGGGCAGATGGCTCCAATCCTCCTCGTGATTTGCTCAGGCCACTGGGTTAGCAGAGTAGGTCAAGATCCTCCCAGTACACACACCACTATTCTGAGGCCAAAGAGCTCTCCATAGGAAGTCAGGGGGGCCTGGGAGAAGAGAGAGGGTTTTTCAGGTTCAGGGCGGGGGAGGGAGGGGAGACGGATTTGGCAACTCCAGTCTCAAACTGGGAGGAAAGAAAAGAGAATAATAGGACATTCAGATTGATTCCTTAACAAGAGCATGCTGCTGGTTACAAATGAAGGCCTCCTTAAAGAAAAACTCACTGAAATGTCAGATTTTTCAGACAAAGGAGTCTGAAGGGTGCATTTTAGTTGTCCCTTATATTTAAACGGAGAGCAAAATGCAGACTAGAGTATGCCAAACTGAAAAGATACAGCGCGTGGGTGAGGATGGATTTCCTAGATGAACTCTTTTTGAAACCTACTCAGTGTCAATGAAACAGAGAGTCTAGCTAGGGAGCCAACTCTCAACACAAACACAGTGGGTTTGCCCTTTGTTCTTTCTAAGAATGTAAGGATCAGACAAGAGTGGGAAAGGAACTTTAAAAAGTGTGGTTAAGATTCACTAATGAGTTAGAGAAATAACAAGGGGAGTCTTTTCCTTCACTTCCTCAAAGGGGCTACAGAATCAATGTGGGAAGGCTCGATAGACAACGAGTTAGTAAGATCTTAAAGGACATTTTGGTTTCCTAAGGTCACATATACCTAAATCTAAGACTTGCATAAGCAGGGAGATAGGTACTGGAGGGGGGAGTGTCCCTACAAATGTCCCTATAGAGCTTGCCTATCATTTGTGCCAGCTCAGTGTATAAGTATGCCAGAATAGCTGGAAGGTTCTAATAGAGAAGTTAGAGGGGTCTGTGAATTCCCTCTTCACCTTGAGATTCTTCCTGCTTTATAGATGATATATGTATCCAATAAACAGGCATTTTCCCAGGCTCAGAGAAAGAGTGCCAAGAGTCTGACAAGGCAATCTCTGCTTTCCTGTCAGCCCAGCTTGAGCCTCAGCTCACAGTACATGCAGTCCATTCTGCAGCACATATGGAAGATAAGGGCTCAGAACACTTTAGCCTATTGCTGTTCTAGCTGGGTGGCAGTACACCTGTTTATCATAAACACCTCAACTGTCTCCATACCTGTCTTCCTTCAAGTCTGCACTACATATATGAATAGTTCCACCAACTTGTGGAACTTACCAGAAACCCACCAACTGTTTCTAATGGTTTGCTCTCACAAATGACACTTGATGTGAAGATTTAGTTCATTTTGCTTCCCAAGTATTTAGCAGTCATTCCCTGTGCCCCCACAATCCAACCAAATGTAAGCAACTTCTGGGTTTGCCTGATTCTTTAGCAACAGCTATCACATTGTTCTCAAAGTATCTCCTAGAACCAAGCAGCCTTTCAAATACAAATTGGCATTCCCCTCACTACTAAGGACACTGAACATTTTTATGTGCTTTTCTGTATTGTGTATATCTTTCATACAGTGACTATTTAAATATTTTCCTACATTAAAATTGTTTTTTCCCCCTTTCTGTGGTGCTATAGCCATTCTTTATATATTTTAGATAAGCTTTTTGGTGAATATGTGTTTTGTTCAAAAATCCTGTTTATTTTTCTTTGTTTTCTTGGTCAAAACAAAAAATTCACTAATTCACTAATATGTCAAACTTTATTATGTATACATCTTAAGAATGCATAAACTGAATTTATGTTAATGGTATCACAGTATAGTTATTTTAAATTTCTAAATCTGATCTTGTTCTCTTATTTAAACCCTTCTTGTTCTTTAGTTAAAAACAGAAACTTAAAGCATCATCTAAGCCAGACCTGCCCCTGACATTTGAAGGAGGCAGGGCATGTGTTAAATACCTCAGCTTAGCATGCTGAGATATTTGTCTTTGTGCATTTATCCTCTCTATATTTCAGATGAAGAATATGACAGAAAGAGTTTATTCTAACTAAAAGTACATATGCACATAATTCTTTCATATAGAATTATAATTCTATACATTTTATAATTTCGTTCCTAGGAAGCATTTTATAAATTTCATATTGATTTACAGAGGAGAATATTGTTATGTGGATATGTACTATAAAATATTTGGAAGACCCAATCTATTTTGTGACTACCTAAACCAACACATCTGAGCTAATTTAAATTACTCACTATATTATGTATACTGATTAAATATGCATGGACTACTTATTGCTTTAAACAAGAACGTATTTGACTCCCTATTGAGACAGTTCTAGAGCAGAAAGTGTATTTGCTGTCCTAAGGCAGATTCAACCAATATTTTCCCCCAATTCCCAAAACCTTGGAGTAATGTGCGACTCTGCTGAGGATGTAATAATTTACATGCATCATAAAATCAGGAAGGAAAGGTGATAGACTGACTGACTGACCCTTTTCCTATAGCGAACTCCGGTATATGTTAAGTAGTGACAATGAGACCGCTAAACATTCCCATAACCAGTAGTGCTGGTGATATGGCTCGGTGGTAGAGTGTGTGCAAGGCTCAGTTGTTAGCAAGCCAAGGGGAAATCATGAAATCTGTTAGAAAGATCTACTTATTTAAGTGGTGGAAGAAAAAGGGCGAGAGAGGCTTTGAGAGATCTCGGCGAACGTCCACACAAGGCTGAGTCTCCAGAAGCTTGCTTTCTAACAGCATCCCCTTTTAAGAAAACAGAGAGTGGCTGTGAATTTTCATCACTTAAACAAACAAACAAAAAAAAAGGCCAACCAAGATCCTGGCAGATATGTCCTGCAGAAGAGGCAATCAACAGTCAAGATCTTTGCTCAAACTTCTTTTCATCGCCAAATTATACAAAATCCTAAGAGAACATCTTCATAGTTGAGATGAAACATGACTTGTGCTGCTGATGTTCCTACTGGTGCACAGTATGCCTGTATTCAGCAAGAGAGAGAGGACCAGACACCCTCTCCCCAGACCCTTTTCTAGGAGCTCACCGTTCTATCTTACCTGCACTTCCTTTACACCATCTACACAACCAAGATGCTAAAACTGCTCAGTGCCTGAGTTGCTTAGAATAAGGAAGATCAGAACCTGCAAGTCCAGGGTTAATGTGATTCTGCTAGCTGAATTTGATGGAGAAGGTACCAAGGCAGTGAAGGGGGGAAACAATAGCCCATCTGTTCCCTTAGTGATGAGAAGCTTGTAGTTTGGTATGTGCAAAAAATACCTAGCTTGGATCAAAAAGCAAATGCAACTCCATGTGGCAATGTGAAGAGGCCAGAGCAATATTTCCTCTCTTTTCTTCTTTCTTCTACTCCCTGCTGTTTTGTGCTTTCTACCTCACTTTGTCTAAGTTGCCTCTTCCCTGTATTTTCTTAAACACTGAATATAAAGTAAGTCTTTAGATTCCTTCCAGAGAGACAAAGTGACTCAGAAGATAGTTTCTCTTATTCCAGGACTGTTATAAAAGTTTCAGGTTTGGGACCTTCTCTTCTTGGATTATCTATGTGCAACAGCTCTGCCAAAGGGCAGCTCTCTTCTCAATTCCTTATCAGTTTCTGCTGTCAGTTAGCATTTAGCTCAAATATTATTTCCTCACAGGAGACCAATCCAGAGCTTTTAACTTATGCCATCTTGTCATTTTATGTCTTTTTCACATGGCATCATTCAGCTAAATATGTGTATAATTCATTGTTTAGTATCTTTCTCTCTCATAGGAACATAAGTTCTTGGTGCACCCATTTTACTCCACACATAGTTCATGCTCATTGTCTGTCCCCATATGAAATC